GTGCATGGTGCTATCTTATTGTGGTTTTAATTTGAATTTCTCTGATGATTAGTGATGTTGTGCATTTTTTCATATACGTATTGGCCATTTATATATCTTCTTTTAAGAAATGTCTTTTCAGATTCTTGGTACATTTGTAAAAATACAGTTGGTTTTTTTACTTTTGAGTTGAGTTCCTTATATATTTCTGAATATTAACAACTTATCAGATATGTTGTTTGCAAATACTTTCTCTCATTCTATAGGCTGCTAAAATCAATTTTCAATGAGTGTCTTGCAGAGGTTACACCTGAGAATTCTTCTCAAGTCAAAAGGGATTGATGTACATACTGTTCTTTGGTGAACAGAAAATGTTCCTAAGTGTACTTCATTTTCATGACTATCAGTTGTTATTGTGAACTTGGTGTTTCTTCTTTTTAAATGGGAGCAAAAATTATACATTTATTTAAAAAGACAGACTGTCTTTTTTTATTCTGGATTTTGTATGTCATCCCCTTCACAGAGCAATCTCTTATTGTCTAATGTAATGCTGTCCAATAGAAATCTAAGATAAGCCATATGTGTAATTTTAAGTTTTCTGGTAGCCACATTAAAAACATAAGGAAAAACAAGTGGGATTAATTGTAATTATATGTATTATTCAAACCAAATCATCCAATATACAGTAGGTCCACTTTTTATATCCATGGGCTCCACAGGGCCAACTCTGGGGCCTGAGCATCCATGGATTTTGGTATCCACTGGGGGTCCTGAAAACAATCCCCCATGGATACCAAAATTTATTAACATGTAGGCATTATAACAACTTTTAGGCTGTTTCAGCCTTACAATTCAGGTTTATATTAATTAGAATTATAAAATTAACATTCAGTTTCTCAGTTGCATTACCACATTTCAAGTACTCAGTAGCCACATGTGCCTGCATATAGAACAGTGTGGATCTAGAATGAGGGACCCCAAATTGTAATTAGGTAGAAATCAATTGATTAATTTAAGGAACTGCATTGTTTGATATTTCTTAGAGGGAGTGCAATTTAATAATAACAGATGTAGAACAGTAGTATATTGTGGAGAGGGCTCTCCCCTAAACAAAAAGGAAAATATTGAACTCGTTGCCACCATCAAAAGAAACATACAGAATCACTATGTAGGGAGGAATCTTGGTTTTTACAAGGGAGAGGTCCATTTCACCCCCAAGGTGAGCCTGGTGAAATGATAATGGAGATTCCTTGTTTCAGCAGATGAACCACCACTCATGGACATCTACCAAGCTCATCCTCTTTGGAGAGTTCATGCATTCAAAATATGACTTGCTTTTGATTCAAACTTATATTTCTTCAACACATCATATGACTGGTTCCTTCTCATGTTCACATCTCATCTCAAATATTTAATGAAAGCTTTCTGAGTGCTGTTTGTAATAGAGCAAATCCACACCAATCTCTCTCTGTAACATAACACTTTGATTTCCCCACAGCACATGAACACCCAACTGAGCTCCCATCCATTCATTCACACTTTGAATTACCAACTGCGGGTTACACTATCTTTAATTACTTATCCAAACACTAGGAGGGCATGACTCAAATTTATGAAATTACACCAAAGCATATGCTCCTCCATATCCAATAGTAGAGACTATTTTCTCTACTCAGTAGGGTTTCGCTTTATGTAACCAATTTCTCTAGAAACCTACAATGAATAGCACATGATTTCTAGATTTATACAGGATGTCAGCTGTGCCATCAAGTTTACATACATGTGTGGGTCCACCTCTGGACTCCATTCTGGCCCACTGTTCACCTTTTCTATTACTGTGATAATTCACATCCTCTGAAATCAAATAGTTTTATAATAAGACTTGATGTTTCATAGGGCAAAACCCTCTATTTCATTGTACAGTCACTGCTGTTCCATACATATTCTGGAACCACTTTGCCAAATACCACAAAATCTTATTGGAGAACTGACTGTAATTTCATTGGAGAATATGTTAAGGTGGGAAAAGTAGACATTCTTAGAATGTTAGATTTTTCTATTCATAGACATGGTATATCCCAATTATTTGCATCATATTTAATGTTTTCCAATTAAATGTATGAGGGTACTTCAAAAAGTTCATGGAGAGATTTGTATTATCTTTTCATGCTTATTTCCATGAACTTTTCTAAGTACCCTCATATAACTTTAGTAAAAGTCGTTTGTTAAATTTTGGTGGCTATTGTAAATGGTAATTTAAAATTAAATTATAATTCTGTTTTTAGTGTACAGAAGTAGATTATATTTTTGTATAAAAACTTTATGCAAACATCTTCAGGTACTCTATTATTAAACTTACTGATTTGTCTATAAATTATTCTGTTTCCTATCATCAATCATATCATCTGAGAATGAATGCAATTTCATTTCTCCTATTCTGGTCCTTATACTTCATGTCTTCATCTCCTGCTACCCTACCTCAAATATTCAGTACTACAAAACTCAGAATTAAATATGGTAAGCATTCTGGATTTTTACTCTTGAAAGTGTAATGCTTCTAATATTCTTTTATTAATTGTATTTGCTAAAGGGTTTTGATGCATATTCTTTATCAATATAAAACATGTTTCTTCCAGTCTTAATATTCTCCAAGATTTTGAATTTTATGTTTTATTATTTTTTTATCGAAACTTAATTGATTGTATGTATTTGTGGTGTAAAGAGTTGACTATCAATACTTGTATACAATATGTGATGCTCAAATTGGGATAATTAGCATAGTCATCATTACAAATTGTAATAGAGAGAACAGAACTTTAACCAATTTCTTGCCCCCCACCCCACTTAACCCTTTGCCTGGTTACTAGAGGTGGTAAAGCAGGAGGAGGGTTAGTAAGAAACAGGTTAATGGACACAAATAATGGATTCTATTTTGGAATGTTGAAATTCATCATAGTTTTTTATCTAATGAAATAATCATATAATATCTTGCTTAATGTGTCAAGGCAATGAAGTACCCTCCTAATTCTCCTAATATATATATATATTTTTTCCTTTTTGTCTTTTTTACTGATCAGTAATGGGATCACAACCCTCAGTGTCACGCCCGTACCGGGGACCGGCAACGGGATTGCAACCCTCGGTGTTGTGCCCGCACCGCGCTCAGCCAGTGAGCGGGAACCGGTCTCCACATGAGATCCGAACCCTCGGCGGGAGCACCGCCGCCCTCCCAAGCGGTGCACTCTCCAGTGCGCCACCGGGCCGGCCGTCTCCTAATATTTTAAAGTATTCTTACATCCCAGTTTATCATTAGTGTGCATGGTGTACCTTAAGTTTTGGTATCAGGTTCCAGTTAAATCTATAAAATCAACATTTTCCCTTTCTCTGTTCCTTGTAAACATTTATACAAGATTGGAGGAATCTGTACTTTTTTTTTTCTTTTAGCTTTAGATTTATTTTTTGATTAATTTATTTATTAATATTATTACTTTTTTTACATTCTAATGTTCCACAGCAGTTGAGGTAGAGGGGAAGAGGAGTGGGGGAGTTGAATAGGGTGGGATGAGGAGGAAGGAGAGGGGTGTGGTCAAGGCCCATGGCACACCATCATTTCAGTAGGGGAAACAAGGGTGCTTCCTGCAGCAGCTGGGTGGTTATGGATGTGGGGGGGCATGGCTGATGCCCCAAGCCCCGTCACAACCAGGAAGGATCTGTACTTTAAATGACTGGTGAAATTTCACTAAAAAACATTTTATTCTAGTGTATGAATTTTTAAGCAATGAGTGACAGACTTTATACATAAAAGAACTATAGATGTTTAGCTATTAAAGGATTACTTAAAATATCTTCTTGAGCCAGTCATAATTGTTTATAATTTTCTAGGAATTGGTCTATTTCATTTATGTTGTAAATATTAAGATATTCATAAAATTCCCTTCTTTTCTAACCTACTATATACTTATGTCCCAGTTTTTTTTAATGGTATTTATTGTATCTTTTCTTATTCTCTGGATCATTCTTGCCAAGGATTTATGAGTCTTGTGAATCTTCTCAGTAAATCAAATTTTGGACATATTAATGCTTAATACTGTATTTTTTTGTTTTTCAATACTATTTGTCCTTACCTTCATTATTTTCTGCTACCTTTTTTGGATTGGTTTTGGTGTCGTTTTTCTGACTTTTCACACTCCATATTTGGTTAATTTACTTTTAAGTTTTTCTTCTAAAGAAAAACAATGCTATAACTTATAGATATTGCATTAAACAAAATATTGATATATTAATATATTAGCTGCATTGTCTTTACTACATATACATAAAAGAATATATGTCTATATATGTGTGTGTGTACATGTGTGAGTGCACATTTAATTACTTTTATATATTATGATTGGCAAGATACTGAGTCATTTTCAAAAAAATTGTGAAAAATTTTGTGCTCTGATAAGTCTTCTCCCATCTTTTCCATGGTAATTCTATGTCAACTAGGAAAGTCCTAGCTGATAACTATTTATTCAAACTAAACATTCATAGCACCCACTTAAATCTCAAAATACCTCATTTTGGAGAGAGAATTAGGCATCATACCTGCTCAAAAATCTACTCAACATCATTAAGGACAAAGAGTTTAGGAGATGTCTTGGTCCTACAGGTAGAGTTTTAGATACTCCTAACAAGTAGAAAAAAATTAGAGGAAAAGTATAGAGAAAAGAAATAACAAGAATGAAAGAGGTTTGATTGTTTTGCAATGGGAGAAAACAAGACTGCTCATGACTTATGAGACCTGAGTAATAGAAAAGGAAAGTGAGACAGATGTACTGATGTACTATATATAATCCGGGAGTGACTGCCACTTAAGTGCAAGGTGCACTTTATTCTAACAGAAACAATTGTGCAAACAGAAATCAGAGTCATATGGGTACATATACACAAGGGCACATTCAGGATTCCTTGTTGCCCATGGTTGATTTTTCTGCCATTTCTAATCCTATGAATCAAAATGGAGAGCACAGGTATTGAGATTAGACTGTTCTGTTAATAATCCTCCACAGGGCCCGTTTGATGTCCCTGTTCCTCAGACTATAGATAAAGGGGTTCAGCATGGGAGTGACCATCGTGTACAACACTGAGGCCACCACACTCTTCATGGGAGAATGAATAACTGAACTGAGGTATATGCCAAGGACAGTTCCATAAAATAAGCAAACAACTGACAGGTGAGAGCCACAGGTGGAGAAGGCTTTATATTTCCCACCTGCTGATGAGACTCTCAGGATGGAGGAAACAATTCTAGCATAAGAATAAAGGAGCCCTGAGACTGGAACACCACCAAAGATGGCGGCCAAAAAATACATTAATATGTAATCAGTGGAGGTGTCAGAACAGGAAAGGTGGAGGAGTTGAAGAGGGTCACAGAAGAAATGAGGAATTTCCACATCTGAGCAGAAGGTAACTTGTGACACTATCAAGCAGTGCATCTGGGAGTTTAAAAGACTGAGGAGAAAAGACACCAGGACCAACAAGCCACAGAGGCGCAGGTTCATGATGATCAGATATTGTAATGGGTGACAAATGGCCACCAACCGGTCATAGGCCATAATAGCAAGAATTAGATTGTCCAAACATCCAAGAAAATAAAAAAAGGACACTTGAGTGAGGCAGCCTGCATAGGAGATGGATTTGCTGTGTGCCTGGATGTTCACCAGTATCTTGGGGATTGTAGTGGTGCTGAAACCCATGTCAGCCAAGGACAGGTTGCAGAGGAAGAAGTACATGGGTGTGTGGAGGTGAGAGTCAGAGCTGATGGCCAGGATGATGAGCAGATTCCCGAGCACTGTGACCAGGTAAATGTACAGGAATAGCCCAAAGACGATGGGCTGCAGTTTCGGATCATCTGAAAGCCCCAGGAGGATGAATTCTGAAACAGTTGTTAGATTCCGTGATTCCATGTTGCTGGAACAGCTTATGACAAAGAAGACAGTGTTGGAACACACAAAAGTGTAGAGTCACCTAGCTAAGCAATTTACAAGAAAAGTATTCACACTTGAGGACCATACACCTAGTTACTTTCAGCAATATTTCTCAGGTGTAAAGTCTTCTTAAAACTCTTTTTAAAAATATGTTCACTAATTTTTAACTGACACATAATAATTCTACATATTTATGGGGTCATATGTGGGTTCTGAAAAAGTTTATGTCATAGATGTATAAAGTAGAGTAGTGCTTACCAGGGTCTAGGAAGGGGGTGGGGAGAGGAGGATGGGAAGAGATCAGTCAACAGGTACAAAGTCACAGTTAGGTAGGAAGAATAAGTTCTAATGTTCCATTACACAGTAGGGTCATTACAGTTAACAATAATATACTGTATGTTTCAAAATAGCAAGAATAGAGGCTTCTGAACATTCTCAACACAAAGGAATGATAGGTGTCTGAGAACTATTTCCTTATTAGTGTCTGTCCTGTTCACCTGTTTCTATATACACCCACTTTGGAGACACTGAGCCCCAAAAGTCAGAGGAGGAAGGACAATTTGAAGAAAGAAATTCATCAACACAGTGAAATATCAGGCCCCTACTTTTGAAGAGTATTTATGAAATACAAAATATGCTTCTCTCTACAAGAAAAAAAATTATTCTAACTACAAGACACTAAGAAGCAGTATGTAGTACTTTATCTTACCTGAATTCAGTATAAGAAATCCCCTTGATTTTTGTGATGAGGAAGAGATGGAGGAAGGGAGGGATGAAGTGGTGGAGCACAGAGGATTTGGGCGGCAGCAGTACTATTCCGTATGATACTGTAATGGTGAATACATGACATTATGCATTTCCAAAACTCATAGACAGGTACAATACAAAGAGGAAATCCTAGTGTAAAATTAAGGCAATAATATATCAAAATTGATTCA